CTGGGAAATAAGGATGTGTCTTACAATTTCTGTTGTCAGATTTGATGAAGTTTGGGTATTTTTATTTTAATCATGGAATCTCATTTCCAAGCAACAATCCATTTGTAAAAGAAAATGTTTGTTTATTTCTACTTTGATTTCCTCATCCTTAGACCATTATTTATCTTAAATTTATTTAATGGTTATAGATCCTAGAAAGAAGAAAATTACATTCATTCAAATCCATCAAATCATGTTTTCCCACCCGAGTATATTGAATGCAAATCAGGAATAATGAAAAATTCAACTAAGCAAGGTCTTCTAGTCCTGGATTCTAGACTCAGGGTGCTCAGGACAATGTAAACCCTTAACTCGGGGCTTAATTATCAACACTGTACTTCAGCAGAAGTCTCCTCCTCCTTGAATCTTAGCTGCTGCACATTTAATAGGAAGTATCATGACCCAGAGCACCCTCTTCAGTGTCATTAGTGCACAAACTATTATGTTACAGCAGATGATGCATTTCAAGACACCAACTGCCTCCGTAACAACATTCAGCAGCTTAATTACACATTAACCCATGATATAGGAGACATTTTCCTCTAATTCAATGCAAGGTTTTATTTTTTTCTCAGTTTATTCAACTAGGTAGAGACTCTACCTACCATTTACTATTCTTTTTGTTATTATATATATGTATATATATATATTATTTTATAATATTTCATATATTCTCTCTCACACACATACTCCATATATTCTCCTCCCTTTCTCTCCCTCCCTCCCTCTCTTTCTCTCCCTCCCTCCCTCTCTTTCTCTCACTCTCACTCTTGCTAGCTCTTTTTCTCTCTCACACACATTCCCTGTCTGCCTCCTGCCTCTCCTCCCTTTAAGTACAATATTATAAGGCATCTCAACTTTTCTTGATCTAGACTCTAAAATCACACCCTCTCCCTTTAGTTCCTCTCATTTTCATTGCCCTCTCTGGACCTCTTGAGTTTTTGCCCTGCTTTTTCTGAAATGATATGAGCAGCAGCACCAAGGGAAGCCTTTGAGTCAAGGACAGACTGATTTACACTCTCCCGAGATCACACTGTTTTTCTAAATCACTCTAAATTGCATTTTAATATACATCAACCTGTGTCTCTCTGTGTGTGCACACTGTCTATATTTAACACTCTGGCCCTCTGAAGAGATGCTGCAATGGTGCCATGTGCTAAGAGCACCTAAATCATTTTTCTTGAATGATTACAACTAATTGGAAAGTCATCCATTTTCAAAGGCAGTAGAGATTTTTCTCTCTAATACACATTCCTTTGACTTTGGCTCCCCTTAAGGAAGATATGGTTAGACTTAGGTCATTGCCTTTATTCAAAAGCATAACAAACCGATGTTCTCTTTGAAGCCAGAGACCTAAAGAAGCAATGGTTTATTCCTGATCTCAGAATAGCCCATGGGTCAACAAGGTAGTAAAATATTATATCCTGTCCACGGGACTTCAGTTAGCATTCTCAGGAGTTCAGCATGAACATCCCCAGTGCTATACCAGCAAGGAATCCTTCACAGAGGTCTAAGAGGAACAAAGAATTTCTGTGGCTCAACAAGGTTAAACCCAACCAACTTTCAATAAAATGAAACTTGTAGTTACAGAGAAAAAGTATTTATTTCTCACTAAAAGATTTGATCTAGTATTATAGAATTATCCCTCAACAAAGTAAAGCTGAACAAATGTCACTATAGAAACTCAGCTGACCTATATCATTTCTAGGTCTAACACTTCTCCCTGGGGCTAAGCCCAATTCACGCATTTCAGCCCTTAACTGCTGTGTGTGCAGAATCTGCTACTCATGATCTTTTTACTCCCTCCAGATGTCCCATCTGCCTCCTGACTTTCCTGCTTCGCAAGCCATTCCCTGGGATACCTCTTACAAAGAAGACCCCTGGTACCCTGCCAGTCTGCAGTTCCCAGAATCACCTCTTTTCTCTTCCTGAAGGGTCTCCTCTTCCATACTTAGCGCTTCACCCACCATGTATAGATGTCTACAACCATGAGCTCACAGTTCTCCATAGAACCTGCTCTTTGATTCCATGTTATGCTGAAAAGTGACACCTAATATTCACCAAGCCACATCCAGAGAATAACAGAGGGATCTCTCCTCCCCACAAATCCTTCCTATGTCTTCAGCCACCAAGTTTTGATTCTACTTCTTTATTATTTCTAAAGCGATTCCCTTCCCTTCATTTCACTGCCACCATGGTAACTCAGATTCACACCATCATCCTGCAGCTACAGAAATGTTTCTCAAACTGACACTTGGTCATGTCTCCTCCTTGCTGCATTCCAGGGATTCTGGAGTACCTTCAGGATGAAGTTCACCTCCACAATACAGCATCAGGCAGGATAACAAAAGTCAGGCCCCTGCTCTCTTCTCCAACCTCCTCTAAAGAACAGGCCCTCAGGCTAACTATGGGCACTCCCCAGATGCCCTCTGCTTTCTGTTGGCTCCAAGTCTTTGCAGATGCTTTTCACCAGCTGGCAATGTCCACTAATACTCAACCCCAGCCATGGTGGCAGCAATCAGTAGCTGATTTGATCACTGAGTTCATTCTTCTGAACATGACATAAAAATGCAATTCCCAGCCTTCCCCCAGGTAGGTGTGATCATGTAACTAGTTGTAGCCAACAGAAAGTAAGCATAGGGGAGTTCACCATTTTTTAGGACCAGCCCTTGAAAATTCTCTCTTGAGATCTTCACACTCTTCCTGCTGGCTAAGAGCCCCTTCCAAGAGCAACTCTGAGAGGAAGGCACTGAATGCGGACGAACTTCCTTCACCCTGGATTCCTGAATGGCTGCACAAAAAAAGGACTCTTCTATGTGAATCAGTAACATATATGTTGAAATGTTCATGTGAAATAGATATCCACAGTACATCACTGAAATTTTGAGTTTTATCTGTTTTAACAGCTACCATCTTTGCTTTGTAATCTCAAATCTAGACATCATTAGCGCAACCCTCTATTCTTACTATTAAACTCAAATTTCTAACTTCTTCACTCTCCTTCGCCAGACTAACTTTCTAATATTTTTCAGGAATTATTCCCTAAACCTCTCAGTCTGGGTTGGGTTTCTTCCACCTTACTTACTATAATTATGATTACCTATATGACCATTTTCCTCCCCAACTCTGTGGTAAAGTTTTTGAAAGTGAAAACTTTAATCTGTTTTAATCTCTGTACCCTCTATGCCAAGCTGGCACTGAGGAATACGTTTCATATAATAACAAAGATGAATAAATAAATAAAGGAATCAGGATTTGTCATGTGGAAAATATGAAGACTCAGAAGTTATTTGATAAAAGTCCATAAGATAATGATGAGTATGGAGAGGAAAGGCTGGATGGGGAACTTTTAAAATTAATCCCTAGAAAAGAAGAAAAAATATTAAATGCTCAAAAAAGAATTTTAAAGATTTAAGGACAAATAAAAAGAGACCTGAATGTGTTGGCAGGAAACTTGAGCTTCTTAACTTCTAAAAATGAAGGAAGATATCAAAAAATTTGTAAAATGTTACTAAAGAAAACTTAGTTTGTTCTGAGTATTGCCTTTTTGAGCTTGATCATAAAGAGAAAATAGCTTTCTAGAATATGTCCATTGGATGCATCTCTGGAGGACATGAGATATTTTGTTTTCGTCAGCTTTTTCACCGCTGTGACTTACCAGAACAATTTTAGAGGAGGAAAAGTTTATTAGAGGCTCATGGTTTCAGAGGTCTCCATCCATAAGACGCTGGCTCCATTCCCCAGGGTTCAAGGTGAGGCAGGATATATGGCAGAAGAGTGTGGCAGAGGGAAGGAGCTCACTTGGTGATCAGGAAGCAGAGAAAGAGTCTCCACTTGCCAGATACAAATATATACACTCCAAAGCCATGCCCTAATACCCACCTCCTCCAGCGACACCCTACCACTTCAATTACCACTCAGTTAATCCCTATCAGGGGGATTAATTCACTGATTGGGTTAAGACTCTAATAACCCAATCATTTCTCCTCTGAACCTTCTTGCATTGTCTCACATGTGAGCTTTGGGGGGACACTTCACATCTAAACCATAACATATTTAAAGCAACTTTCTTGTAATAATATCACAATCGTTGGTTTTTGTTGTTTGTTTTGTTTTTTGGTACTGAGGAACGAACCCAGGCTAGGCATTGTTTTACCACTAAGATATATTGCCAGTCCCTTCAAAATCATTGTTCAAATTCCTTATAATGATGTTGCCTCATGTTCAACCAGCTAACATTCCAGTGGCAATTCACTTGGGTGTTCCCATCCACTATAAATAAATAAATAAATACATCCACTGGCATTTATGTATGTATTTATTTATTTAGAGATAACATCTTGCAGTGTTGCCCATGCTGGTCTTGAACTTCTGGTTCAAAGGATCCTTCCATCTCAGCCTCCCACATAGCAGGATTACAGGTGTGCCACACTGCACCAGTATGCATTAGCATTTAGAGAACCTTTATAGAGTTTCAAGGCCTCAGTGGATGACCCAAAGTAAAGTCATAGAACAATCTAGAACATTCCAAGGCATTCTTTTGGCTTCTTGGCCTCTCCACACATAGAAGGCTCCTGTTACTGCCAGGGAAGGAGTGAAAAGGAGCTGACAAAAATAATCAGCATTCTCACTTTATTCCAGACCTTTCTCCTCTCCACACCTGAGAAAACATCATAAAGGAATAACTAGACTAATCAAAAGTTTGGCTCTTTCAGTGACTTCTGTTTACTCTGTAAAAACTAACTTTTAAAAAACTTTATTATCTATAAATGAGTGCTGGATTTTTGTTCTTCTTTGACCTTTCCACTGCTTTCACTGGCTTGAGACATTTAACTTTCATCTGAAAAGGTATGACTGATCTAAAGGGAGCTAAAACATAAAACAGACATTTTCCTTTTACAGAAACAATATTTAACCTTTAACGCAGAACTTCACTCTGAGAGATTTAAGAGTGTGCTCACCTGTAGCTGGGATATAGTTAAAGGGTATCGGAATAATATCCAGGTAACACCTTCGCTGCAAGGCGGGATGGTGAGAGAGCCTTCGTACACCCAGTAGTCCCGCAGCAGAGGGTCTGTGTGACCACGTGGACGTGTCAGGAAAAGGCAGGTTAATTGAGAATGATCTGGAAGACTCCAACAGCAGTGTTCAGAAATACAAATCTCCCCATGATGCTTCTCAGAAGGGCATAACAATTTTAAGTCAGAGCCTCACATACGTGTTCTTAAACTAATCATCATCAAGAAAATAACTAATGAAAAACATGATGAATGTTTATAGTGATTTTTATCAGCAAATTACTATATGTGTCTATCAGGTTTAACTAATCTAGGAAGAAAACATCCATGTTTCTATTTTCATTTTAGAGGATTTACTTCATAGACTCACATCTAATACTTTTTATTTTTTTTGTACTTATAGATGGACAGAATGCCTTTATAATATTTGTATGTGGTGCTGAGGATCAAACCCAGTGCCTCACACATGCTAGACAAGTGCTTTGCCACTGAGCTACAGCCCCAGCCCTCGTACCTAATACTTATTGAACTACATGGCAGGTATTATTCTGAGCATTGTAACATTAATTCACTTAATCTTCACATCAAATTAATACTCCAGATGCTTCTATTAGTCCAATTTCTCAGATGGGGAAACTGAACCACAGGTTAGGAATTTTCCAAGGGTCACTCAGCTAATAACCGACAGAACCAGACTTGAACCCATGCAGTCTGGCTGCAGCCTGTGCTTCTAACCGTGGTTCTAGCCTTGTCTATATTGTTTCTTCAACAGCAAAATATTAAAACCATAATATAGAAGGAAATATTTCATTCTCATTAAATTATTTAGCTTTGCATTAGAGGAATTCATGATTAAATATAATGGGAAAAATGTTAAGATTTGACAGAAATTGGCTGGTTGTACAGCAATTAAATGTAGAAAGCAGGACAAAATAAATTATCTGGTTTTGTTTGAAACACTATGAAACAGAATATAATTTAGGCAGAGAAATGTGAAGACTGAAATTTAATATAAAACCACCTTGAAATCCAAGTTTCATTGTGCATATTTTGTGCATAATTATTACCTGTGTGCATAAGCACAATTGGAATGATGTCTAGATAAAAGTATTACTACAATAAAGTAACCTTATGAAATTAGATACAAAGTTTATTTCACTCTAGAGATTAATAAGTACTTTACTGACCAATCTTAGAAGAATATCAAGGTTCATCAAGGTTCTTTTATCATGCAGGCACTTTACACAAAAGGTATCAATTTTTACAGATGACAGACATAAGGAAGTTCTTCATGGATTAATGGAACTAGTAGCAATGTTTTTTTTTATTGTTTCAAGTCTCTACTCCTATATTTGGAGAAATCTGAAACTAGTATTTACTACAGAGAATATCAATTGCAAATAAACTTTATTAACTAATAAGATATAATTATACATATATATATAACCATATATATAACTACATATACATATATATATATATATATATATATATATATATATATATATATATATATTCTGAGAA